TAAACTCCACTAAATAGCAGTAAAACACACAGCCCAACAGCAACACAAAACAATCCACAAAACAGTCCGCTACAAGTGAATAACTCGAACTCACGGCTTTCAATCATCGTCCCGTGAGTTCTAACTATTAGAAAATAAATTTATTAACCTTCCTTGATATTTAAACACTTAAATACAGAAAGTACATATTTTTCTAACTATGAAGTACCTTCCAAAACTCAAACTACAAAGAAAAAGAGAGGCGATATAGCGATACTTACGTCGTAAGGATCGTTTTAATGTTATCGTTTCTTGATTCAGTGCCCGGGATGATAATCTTGTTTAAAGCTCTTGCGGAGAGCTTAAGAGTAAAGTTAGGGGTCTTATTTGGTTGTGTGTTCTGAAAATTTGAAGAAAGAAACGAGATAAGGAAATAAATATTCATTTTGTTAAAAAAGTCAAAAGGTGTTACTTGGCACTCTAGCATTGGTATAACTTAAGTTTGGGACGCACAAGGTGTAACAGATAGTAACACTAATAAAGAGGAAAATTACGGAGAGGGTAAATGAGTAGATCATACGAGGATATCAAAGAAAGCACATAGGTGTAGGAGTTTTGTCTAACGGCTACTTTGCAATTAGAAACTGTTGAGTTGGGGCCTCGATCTATGGTTAGATTAAGTTTGACTTATAAGTGTAATTGTTTTGATGTTAATGGTAAGTTTACATTGTTACCAAAAAAAAAACGTAGTATAGATTTGAGACGCATTTATTATTTTCATGTCGTACTAAATTATAAAGACTAGCTAATATAAGAAAGTGTATTGTGAACCTTCAAAGTAAACGGTATGGTTAGTACATTTGGATGATTCACGAGAATAAAAGTTGACGGTAGCGGCTTTTGGAAGAATAAGACCGCTTAAGGGGTGGGTGAGAGGTTGTTAGTTAGAAATAACTTAGCTCCCGTCTTGCAATAGATTTTGGCCTTATTTTTTAAAATTGTAAAAACATTTTTTGTTTATAAAATGTGATCATGTTTTGGAAAAAAAAATTTCAAGTTTTCAAAAATTGGTTTAAAATAATTTTTGGGTAAAATTTTTTCTTCGACTCATAAAATTTCAACTTTTTTTCGAATAAAATGCATGTCCAAATACAACTTTAACTTTCAAAAGTTATTTTTTAACATAATTTCAAAAACTCTTTTTTCAAGTTTCATCATATCTATGTCCAAATATTAGCTTAGTATCTCAATTTAGTAACTTTATTAAATTATTTAATTTCAAGAATTACATGGTAATCATTATCATACTAGTACTAGTTGATCAAGTAATAAAAAACTTCTAAGAATATGTACTATATAAGGTATTTATTACCCTTTATTCAAGTTTACTTGTCCACTATACTAAAAATAGATGTCCACTTTCACTTGTCCAGGTTGAAAAATAAATGGATAATTTATCATTTTATACCTATTTTACCCTAATCATTTCTCAATATTTTGAATTTATAATAGTCAAAGTTAGTTTTTCAATAATAATAATTAGGGGTGATATAGTAAAATTATCATATTATTTATTGTTTCTTTAAGGGGTACGCCAAGCCAATAGTGCACAAATCCCAAGGGACCAATTTAAGAGTAAAATTCACTTTATCCCCTTAATGTTTAAGAGTTGGAAAACAATATCCCCTTCACGTTTTGAATGGGAAAGGGAACCTTCTTGTGCAATAACTTTCTGGTGAAATAATTCTTTTAATAAAAATTATTTCTTTCTTGAATAGATAATTTTTAGAATAACCAAGTTCTTTCATTATAGTCAAAACCTCAAGATATGACAAACAATTAGGATCTATATAATTTAAGGAGTTCCCCTTTAGCCTTCTTCTGGTATAGTTTAAGATATGATGTAATGCAAAAACGCCTCCATAGTGAATTTTTAAATGTGACATTATCAACTATAATTTCTGTTCAATAAAGTTATTTTCAAAATAAGTAAATTTCAATAATTGCTTTAGTATAATAATTTTAATATACAAAGAAAACACATAAATAAATTAATACTCATAGCAACAATTATTTCATCTAAATATATGTTAGAGAATTGGTTATTTCAGTATATTTTTTTCCCTTCAAATTGTAATGCTAAAGCATCCATGGTGAATGTGCGTCTGACATATTTCTTTAATTTTGTATGTAAGATTTTTCCTTTATTGCTAAAATTTTAACAATGACTTCAATATACCTCAATATAATAGGAAAATATAGACGAAATTCATGTATTGGTTTGGATGAAAAATATTATACTTCACCTTTGAAAGGATAGAGAAAGAAAAAAAATCTTTATTTTTTAAAAAAAACTCTCACAAAAAATATATTGCATAAGGGGATTCTCTTTCCTATTCAAAACATGAGGGGTATTGTTTCCTAATCTTTAAAGATTAAGGGAGTAAAGTGAATTTTAATCTTAATTTAATGTGAATACTTTGCAAGATAAATTGTCCTAAATCCTAATTGGTGGTGGTACTCAACACCTAACCACCACCAAATCTTGACTAAACGTATCATAGCATTAAATTTGAAAAAGCAAATGTTATCTAGAGAGAGGAAAGAAAGAAGAAGGTCCACTGACTGACCACAAACAAACAAAGGAACCTGTGCCTCTGATAGTGATATCTGCACCACTTGATTCCAAACCTTTATGATAGTCTTTCAGTTTTCTTCTTTTTCTAGATGACACTATATATGAATGCAATAATTCTCTGCTTGAAATTGGGGGGAAAATAGAAAGATGGTCGAGCTTTTTTATTTGCTTAGGAAAAAAGAATGGAAGAGATTTGGTGGATAAAATAGCTCCAACCTAAGTTCACTATTAACATAAATTTCTATCTAGCTTTTAAAATAAAATTAAGGTAATTAACTAAGCATGTTTCTTATTTTCTTTAGCCGAGAGTCTACCAGAAACAACATTTATGTCATCTCAGGGTAGGAATAAGGTTAGCGTAAACACTACCCTTCTTAGACCCTACTTGTGAAAAATCACTGAATTTATTGTTGTTGTAATTAACTAAGCCATTGATAGGGTGATATTACTTGCAAAAATACAAGACAGAAAGTTGAGCATTAAAACCACCATATGCATAGATTCAAACCCGCTCAAAATGAATAACAATATACAAATACTATGTTTAGTTGAGAGTTGAAGCAGTCATATTCCCAAGCAACTTACGTATTATGATCCGGGCTCTCTTGTGTTTCTATAGTAGATCTGAAATCTCCATTGCTTTCTTCCTAGTAAAGCCTTTGCTTTAAGGCCCTCAATTTTGGAGCCCCAAAAATATTTTAAATTGTGGATTTACTATCTTATTTTCACTTAGACAATATTGAAATTTATAGAAAAAAGTAAAAAGATACAAAATGCTTATAATAATGGTATAAACACTATCTATTTTTTAACCATAGAAATATTTTAGAACTTTGAATTAAGATACTCAAATCTTCATATTGATAAATAATATTTTTTACAATAAAATCCAAGATAATAAATTGTAAATAAGTGACTAACATCTTATTAACTTGAATTTTCTTACCAATGTGAATATTAATATTATATTTCATAAGATAACTACGTTATAGATAAAAAGAAAGAAAGAAAGAAAAAAAGAAAGAAAGAAAGAAACCAGTGTAATATTAATACTATATTTTACAAGATAACTATACACCGGAGAAGGTTTGGATGAGATAGAGTTTACAGAGGCTGAAAGCAACATGAATGCTTTAGTTTCTGAGTACCAACAATATCAAGATGCGATAGCTGAAGAGGATGAGTATGACAACGAAGACGAGGAAGAAGGTCAAGGAGCTTAACTAGTTCAGCTTGTAAAGAATTTTGAGTGCTGTTATGCAGTAGTGGGTACTGTTATGCAGTAGGGGTGGCTCAAGGGAGGCTATTAAATCCTTTGCTTCAGGCCCCTAAATTTTAGGGCCCCAAAAGTATTTTTAATTGTAGATTTACTATCTTATTTTTGCTTAGACAATATTGAAATTTATAGAAAAAGAAAAAGAATACAAAATCCTTATAAAAATGTAATATTAATATGACTATGAAGACGAGGAGGAAGAAAGTACCAATGTAATATATTTATACCAAAATGTAATATTAATATGACCACAATATATTTGTACAAATGTAATATTAATACTATACTTTACAAGATAACTATACTATAGAAAAAAAAAACAATTAAGGTCCTTTATTAAAATATGATTTTAGGTCACAGGTTTTATTAAGACGCCTTTGGCTTTCTTGCTTACTCTCTTTCTATTTTTGTTAATTTCGATTTACTGGCTAGAAAACTCAATCTCGACCCTTCCTTTCTTTCCAATGTTCTATTTGCAAAATTAACCAATCAAGAGGACTCTTCCATTAACAGATACCAATAGAGCAACCATTGGTATAATATATTATTGGGTTTGCGAATAAAGTCTCACATTGACAGCTGAAAAGATTGGGAGTCTACATATAAGGTGTAAAAATCTCTTAATGGTGTGAGGCATTTTATGAAAAACCGTACAGCTTGGTTCAAAGCAGACAACATCATACCATGTTAAGAATATTCTTGGTTTCTTTATCCTTATTTATTGGGTGTACAAACAAAATCACACATTTGTAGCTGTAAAGATTAAGAGCCGTGTTAGCCCAACATATATTTTACTCAAATTTTTTGAAAAATATATTTCTCATTTTAAACCAACACCAAGAAAGATTCTATGAACACTTTCAATTTCTATTTTCTACTTTTGCTATGTGATTTTTGAGACGTCAAACGCTGAAGAAAAATCTTTAAAAAAGGGATAATACTTAACTATTCTGGAACGTGATAGAAGATATTTGAAGCACAAAACTAAGCTAAAAGTCATTTTGCTTGCTATGTTTGTCTTTCCTACTTCATCCTTGAATAAAACTCCACTAATGAGACGCTTATTTAAACTCTATAACAACTCTGATATAATTGAAATTTGGAATATCTAATATAAAAGCTTCTCTTTGAATAGCGGTCATTGAGGAGTTGAGAAAGGATTTGTTCATGGACAGAGACTTCAACGATATTACCAAGCAGTAGATAGTGAGTCCACCACGAACGAGTTCAATGATCCCCATAGTTTACCCATCAATAAATGGACCAAATACTCTAAAGCAATGAGTATAATTCTAATATCCTTTCTAAGATCATAGCACAAAGTCTCGGTGAGGTTTTACATGGTCTCTCATTTGGCCTCATACCAAATTATATCAGAGAGATAGCAAAGATGGAGATGTGATTAATTTGACAATCTTTACTCACTACATATGTGTTAAATTAAGAGCTAATCAGGAGGTCCAGGATCAGAGATGCAACAAATATACCGTAGGAAGAAGAAGCCAAAGATTGAAGAGAGAAGACGCCAATGACAAAATCCAAGACAAGAAAGCCATGGCAGCAGAGAGTTGATATCGTCTGCACATATTCCAATTGCAATATGGACTACCACCAGAAGCAATCAAGTAATCAGTGGCACTAGCTAAGGAACACGCCGTAGCCAGTGACAGAAACGAAAGAACCTGTTATAGAATCCAAGACTATTATATTTTATCAGAACACGATTTTACAGCAAAGTTGACGGTAAATTTATCAAGGCACATACCCAATCTACTCCAACAAGATATGGTAATATTCCGGGCTGATGAGATGAGCGTTTAACCAACAGCGAAAATGCATCAATCACTGCTAAACCCAAGTTCCATGGCGTTACGAAACTCATGGTTGCCACCAAAAAGCTACCAACAATAAGTAAAAAAGTTATTTAACAGAGAAATTGCACCTCTGCAACTAGAAGAATCGTGCATTGGTATTCTTTTCACATTAAACGATCTCTATGCAGAAGCCACTGCATTGTAAGAACATATAACTATCAAGATATAAGATTCTTATACTGATTAACTGTGTTCTATGCTTAGTTAAAACTATGCTCATGTAAGCATGAACTAAATCAGAATGTGAAACTAACTTGGAATGACTACTAATCAGTTATTTTTTGTTTGGTGATATCTGCTACTCAGGTAACCAGTAATTCTGGAGCTTAACATTCAAGAAACCCCTACTTCTGGAAGAATAAAAACATGGAAAAGAAAATGCAGTAGTAGCACATTAAACAAAAAGAGTTGTTTGATTGAAATAATCACCAAGCAATTGTAACACAAAAACTATGGACTTACAAAATTATTGATGCTAGAAAGCTTGTCTTTTAGAAAGAATAAGAAAACGAAAATGCAAGAATAGCACCATAGGAGCAGAAATATGATTTCAATCATTAATGACCATAAACCATGGGGTTACAACTTATAAGCATAGAATCTGGTAAACAGACAACACCTATGTGATATCACCCGAGGGTGTGGTGAGATGGATGGGATCCCTCCATCATTAACCAGTGTTCTCGGGTTCAAGCCGATTCTAATGGGCCTTATATGGTCCGAATCTGGATTATTCAATCAGTGAGTTCCAGATATCAGATGGTTATACCAAAAGTAAAAAGGACTACACATGTGATAATACATCTCACAAACATCTAGTTTCAGTATAATACTCCAATTGGTATAACAGCTGAATAGATAACTCCAAAAAGCATAAATCCCAGTAAGCACTTAGGTAAACAAAGCATGCAATATGGCCAATCTTAACATTCTCGGGAAATATTTCTAACCTCAATTCCGCATCCAAATCTTCAATACCCAAATTAACTACTCCAACAAAATAAAACAATCGTATATCCAACATATTAACTTCCTTAAGTTCATGTAACTAGTTCTTCGAGACTCCATGTTGGAGATGAACTTCACATGTCTCTTGTAAAGATCCTTTTACTAACCCTAGATAAGCTTCAAATGGTCAAAGAAAGTGCCCTCCCAAAGCTCATCAAAGTTCTCTACTAGGTTTTCGCTAGGTAATTTCAGTAGAACCCTTTAGATTGCCAATTTATCAAAGTGAATGTTTTTCTACTGCTAAAGTTATGCACTAGAAAATTCACTTATTCAACTGCTTCTATATCACATTTAATAAGATTTCCGCACCGTTCACCCAGCATTTGTTAGTGCAATAATGCATCTTAAACAACAAACACACAGATCATAAATGAGAAAAAATAGCTGAAAATCATCCAAACAAAGGGTTCTCACGTTAACTTCCTTCCTAACAGATCAAGTTATGATAGTATATTTTATCCACAACAAACTTCAATAATCAGTTTTGTCTGCTAAAGTCATAACATCTGCCGTAACCCAATTAATATATTAAAACCTGACTTTCTAAACAATTTCAGGCCAAGATATAGAGATGAAACTCTTAACAAGTAGGTCCTCCAGGACATATCTTGACCGCTTAGCTGATTTCTGGCAGATCATTAGTGTCTAATTAATGACCTATGGAAAAATGTTGGTTTCAAAAGTGGTTCTCTTAAAATATAGCTGCCAAAATACTGCAGCAAAAATGAAAAAGAAGAGCCCCCAAATTCTTCAAAATCAAAACTTTGTATGATAAATCAGAATTAAATAGATAGGAAAAATGAAAAAACGCCAAGATCAAGACTTTACAGTATGATAAATCGGAATTAAATAGTAGATAGCAAAAATGAGAAAAGAAGAGCCCCCCAAATTCAAGATCAAACCTTTGTAGTATGATAAATCAGAATTAAATTGGTAGCAAAAATGAGAAAAGAACAGCCCCCAAATTCAAGATCAAAACTTTGCATGATATAAATACGAAAAAAAGGACATGGATACTGAGAAGAAAAGAGAAGTAAGGAATCAAAGTACCAGAAGGGAGGGTAGCTGTAGCTGTAGTAAGAAACATTCAAACACATGAAAAGGAGTGAAGCGGCAGAGAAAATAGCCTGTCCTAGCCTCAAAGCTAAACTGGCACTCGTCCCTATAGACCCCTGCAGTTTATGAGTATCCATTTCATCACGGAAATTTCACAAAGTGATTGCATAATTCTGCTGAGCTTATGATATTCATAGATGTTCATTGTATCCATTCAATTATCTGCACTTTCTATAAAAGGAAAGAAGTGTAACCGAGTAAAGGGAAGGAATTTTGAGGAAGATAGTGATGTTGTAACGTAAGAATATCATACTATTTGTGATCTTTACTATGTTTATCTGGTTTTGTTGAACTGTGAGTTTGTAAAGGGAATTTGGTTTGTCTTGAGAGGAAAAGGAATAGGGTTGCCTAAATGAGGTTGTTGCATATGCATGATTTTACTTCCTCTGTTTCAACTACAATGACGGGATGTCAAAATTAGTGGATCAAAGTTTGTTCAGTAGATTTTTAGTTTCATATTTTACATACTCAAAAATTATATCACACTTTTCTAAGCAAAAAATGTTAATAAAAATTTTAGAATATAAATAGAGGAATTATATATGAGAGAAGCAATCTTGTCGCACAATTTTTATGAAATTGTCCTTTCTTAGTGTTTGATTATCATAAATATTTTTCTTTAAAGAGAAAAATGACTTTTCTCAATATGAGTTTACGTGAATCCATACTACTCTCATAAACTATGTATAATAATATTATATTTCTTCAAAAATAAATATATGTGCGTAAACTCATGCTTAAAGACTCTTATGGTACAATTTTTATTGGGTGCACATCTACAAGTGAAATAATTGGTGGTTCAAATCTCACTCTGAACGGTCTTGATTTCGGCACGAAGTATAGATATATATGTAAAAATTACTGCAATTTCAAAAGAACATAATTTTAAAAGTGTAGTAGATTCATGGTAAAAGACTAAAATTAAACCCATCCTAAATATACTTATTCGATATAATTACTAGCGAAATTGCACTCATCCTCTTGTAATCCGAATCCGCATTTGTTCTCAAGGAGTAAGTTATTTTTCTTACAAGTTACAATTACATCGACTTCTAGGCTCTAGCATAAAGAATATGCTCAAAGCAAAATCATTCTCTGTAATCAACTTGTACAGCTCAGCCGTGGACTTTAAAGTAAATTAACTAAACTGAATGAAATGTAAATAAGAAACAACTAAGCCTTTTAACCCAACTGCTACTAACGTCTATGGACAACGAATATAGCCAAGAGTACTCCTCTGCATTGCTACAAAATACTGCTACATCCACTGCTGTAACAAACCTGTGAACTTGCATCCACCATTAGTGTAGTAAAGCACATGCTCTCAAAGCTACCCTCAAGCATTCGTCCTAATCTGAACCTCGAGTTCCGGCGTGCCCTTGTACCTCACGGAGATATACGACGTGCCCGTCAACTGTTCGATGAAATTCCCGAACCAGATATACGATCGTGG